ATCTTCTGACATGCCTGATTGGCCATGTTTTTGCGACTCTATAATTCGATTGCCTGCGCTTTAGAAGACTGAGGATCAATGAAAAAGACTGAGAAGGCCAGGTTTGTAGCCTAATCCTAACATTAGCAAGGTAATACAGAGGTAATGTTCAACCTTCTGCCAAGAAAAACTATCCCGATGCTATCTCCTGTCCTGCCTGATTGGCCGGAAGCGGCTCCCATCGCCAGGAGCCGGGTTCTGTACTGCTGTACTACCGGCTGATAAGCCTGACTATCGCACGACGCCTGCGCAGGACTGGGAACGAGAGCCGTGCGCGGAAATGGCCCCCGAGTATCACATTACGTCTCCTACTGTCTCATTTCCCGTCCTGGAGTCTTGGCGGGGATTCAGGAAACTTTGTCTTATCTGGCGCCAAAAAACAGTTACTCAGGCAAATGGATATGCGCCAAAAAGCACTTACTCAAGCAACTGGACATGATTTTGGAAACGGTCAGACGTTTCAGCTAATATCCACTAGCTTTCGTCAGTGACTGAGAGACCAGAGGAGAAATGCAGGTTTATAAGCACTAACTATAGATTGATCATATCCACTTGCTTGAGTAACTGCTTTTTTGCGTATCTTATTACTCGGATGTCTAACTTTCATCGACGTCTCCTACTGTCACATTTCCCGCCCTGGAGTCTTGGCAGAATTTCAGGAAACTTTGTCTTATCTGACGCCAAAAAAACAGTTACTCAGGCAACTGGATATGATTTTGGAAACGGTCAGACGTTTCAGGTAGCTTCCACTTCCTTTCGTCAGTGGCTGTGGTTTTCCTAAAATCATATCCAATTGTTTGAATAACTGTTTTTTTTATTTATTTTGAATATGATTTTGGAAAAACCATATCCAGTTGCTTGAGTAACTGGTTTTTTTTGCGTATTTTATTACCTGGATGTCTAACCTTCATCGACGTCTCTTACCTTCTCATTTCCCGTCCGGAAGTCTTGGCAGGATTTCAGGAGAGTTTGTCTTATCTTGTTCTAACGTAGTCGTTTGAAGCAGGAGGCTATTTCACCGAGAGTATTATCGTGTCCAGAGCCTGGTCTATTACATTATTTTGCATTGACCGAGACATTCGCTAAGCACTTATTGTATCCAGAACCGTGCCTATGTACTTCAATGCCTAAACGGGTTAGGGTTAGGATCAGGCACGGTTCTGGATAGTCTCCGCGTATCCAAGAACGTAGATTTGCCCCAGGCACGGTTCTGGATAGTCTCCGCGTATCCAAGAACGTAAATTTGCCCCATGCACGGTTCTGGATAGTCTCCGCGTATCCAAGAACGTAGATTTGCCCCAGGCACGGTTCTGGATAATCCCCGCGTATCCAAGAACGTAGATTTGCCCCAGGCACATATCATTGTACTTAGAACACCACGAGTGACATGACCTGTACTTGGCTTGTGCAATAACGTACAATAGAGTTCACCCATTCATTAATCTGCAAATGGGGAGGGGATCTAAATTTGCATGAATGGATATCACAAAGATACGTGATCATACAAACATGTGTGGTGTGCACGTATTATACATTATTACAGGCGACCACTGTTGCCATAGCAAATAGTTCCTGGTGTTGCAAAACAAATGCTACTCCAGTGAATGGTTCCTCCACTTATGTTTCCCCCTAAGCCGATTTAGCTGGTGACATATGTTGAGTTTGCAATTGTGTGTAGTTGTGACCTATTTGGGACGGACTAGGTGGATGTTAAACGAGCTATAATCCGAAGAATAGTTGCATGCAGCTCTCGCATATTGTACTGTAGCACTGCTATTTGTTGTGCGAACATTTCCGCTGCCACCATATCTGCTCAGCCAGGCTTTCAAGGCCGGACCCTAGGTGGTAACATATTGAGGTTTCTTATAACTAACATCTTTCGGTATCTGGTAACCAAATTGCAAATCTCTCTGCATGTCGCCACCAAATCCTACTGTAAAGGATTGTGCTTCCACAGTTCTGGTAAATGTTATTATGAATCTATATTTTGGAAAAACATGCATTACTGTATCTTGATTTTCTCTCATTATTAGTTACATAAAATTCCTTGACCATGTTGATTTATTTATTCATTTAGTCGACCATTGTTTTAATTATGATCGTTTGTTGCAATTTTATGTTATTCTATGTGGGGATTTTCCCCCAGGAATCATTAAAAAACCGCCACTTGGTGATTCATGTATGTACATGTATATCCTGGTGATATAAATAAACTGAAACGAAAGCCTCACGTGAAGGCAAACAGCGAACAGATCAATCAAAAAGGTTTATTGCTAAAAATCACGAAAATTGCAGCAGAAAGCTGAATTGCGTTCAAAGATGTACATTTATTTTAAAACGTTAACAACTACACAATCTCGGAGTCAAATTGTCGTAGTAGAATTGCACACTGAAAAATATTTACACGATATGACGTACATTTAGCTTAGTGAAATTCAAATTTTTCTCCTCTCATTTACATTTGTACTTAACATATAAAAATTAAACTTTTTTATATAGAAATTGCACAAGATATATCAGAGACATTTTGTAATTTACAGAGTTAAGAGCAATAACAGGGGGGCGTGGCAACAGGTTGGTTTCTGGCATAATTATCTCCGAACGCGCGGCGCCGTGTTGCCAACATGTTGCGGTTACCCTAGCCTGGGCAAACTTGCTGAAATATTTATGCCCGGCTGTTGCACAGCGGGGAAAGGAACGATCGCGTTACCAGTTAGCCTGGCAGCCAGACCAACAAAGAAAGGAATTCTCATGTTGCCAGTGGACTCAGTGCTATTACAAAACAGTGGAGCACCTACAGCCAGGTGACGTATAGTGGACGTGTACACCGTCAGGCCACACCGACTTAATTTTATGGATGACATCCGGGCGCGCGCATTGATTTTCGTCCGTTCTCAAAAAAAAAAAAAAAAAAAAAAAAGATCACGTCCTCCAAGACCTGGCTCTAGGCCCGGGTAGTCCATGGTAGTTATCGACAATGCGGAGCCGGGCACCCAGGCTGCCGAAACCCCACGACTCAAAAACTCAGTACATATGTTCAGTGCCGTTTCATAAATTCCGCAAAAAGCGCCGGCAACATGTGCCAGCTTTGTATTCCTGTGGTTTTATAATAGTGGCATTTTTAATTTTTGGCCCAATTTTTTTATTCGCCCGCCCGCACTAGTTCTGGTGTCTTCAGAGGATGTCATCCATAAAATTAAGTCTGTGTGGCCTTAGAACGTGCGGACAGGGTGATTGATGAGTTGTAAGCACGCCGCTGAGGCTGCGGCAAACGGAAGTCTCCACTGCTTGCAGCCGGCCGGACTCACAAACAAACGGCTCGTTTGAGACAGAAAAGAAAAAAGGGGGCCTGCATGGTTTTTTTCGTAAGGCGTAATCAGGCCTTTTTAGTCTTCGTAATCCGTAGGCAGCCTCCCTAAAAATCGACGTAATTCGTAATCAGTACATTTGCCACAAAGCGTTAAGTCATAATGGGCTCTGAGACTTTTGTAATCGGCGGCGAAAATTTTGCGTAATTCGTAACTATGTACCATGAAATTATGTATAATGTATTTGATAGGGATATGTTTAATTAAGCGAGGGGAATTGATGTGGCATTATATTGAACCGAAAATCATCGATATACGATGTTAAGATCAGGTTTACTCTGCACTGATTAGAAAAAAAATCACTATGATGCAAGCCCTCAACCCCCCATGCAGGCCCTCGAAAACCGGTGTGCTGCTCCCTCGGCTTGATCTAACCCCGTGTTGTGTTAGAATAGTCGCAGCTGGCGCGGAAAGCAGCGTTACAAATGAAGGCATGTCGTGGCGAGCTTATCGCTGACTTCTGCCTCTGATCTCTCCGCGTATGCTTAGTATCCCCTCCGCGCTGTGCCGGCTTTGTACGCATGTCAGTATTATTCCAGCACCGGGCCGCTAGAAGTTGTTGCTCCTTCTCCTGACGTCTCTCTGTGTGTGAGAATAGCTCGGAACAAGGAGGATCTCTTTTCTTCAGGATCTTTTCTCTCTCTGCCATGTCAGAATCGTGGGTTGTACCTGCTCGCATTGCCGGTAGCGAGTGACTGCCTGTACTAGTAAATGATGAGAGGAAGATCCACAGCGGACGCAATCTGCTGCAGCCCGCGCTAATTTGGCCCCATCGGATTGCCTGGACTGAGGAGGGAGACTTCATTCGCGCAGACCGCATTGTTCTGAGCGTGTGTTTGTGTGTTGTGAGGGGGATGGATCCGCCTTGAATTTTGCGGACCGCGTTTACCCAAGGAAGGAAGGTGGTAGTAGGCTCATTTGATTCACATTTGCCACCGAAGCTGTCTCTCCAGTGTTCATTAGGGACTTGGACAACGTTTTACCGAAGGAAGGCACCAGTGGGTTCATTCCTGTTCGCCACCGAAGCTATATCTTCATTGTTCGTTGAGGACGTGATGCAGAGGCCCTTGCTTTTTGTGAAGCTCGTTCATTGAAGGAAGGAGGGAAGGAAGGTTCTTCTGAACATTCAGATTCGCCGCACCTGTCTTCATTGTTGATAGAACGTGCTGCGGAAGGCTGGAGGAAGGTACTAGTGGGTTCATTTGCATCTGCCACCGAAGGTATCTCTCCATTGTTCCGTGAAGGCGTAAGGCAGAGGGTCTTCATTTTTGTGAACCGCGTTCGCCGACGGTTGGAAGCTTCCATCTGAACATTCAGATTCACATCTGCCACCGAAGCTGTCTCTTCATTGTTCACTGAGGACGTGGGCACCGTTTCAGGGAGGGAAGGGGCTAGCGGGTTCATCCGCATTTGCCACCGAAGCTATTTCTTCAGTGTTAGTTGAAGACGTGATGCTTTTTGAGAACCGCGTTTCTTGAAGGTGAGAAGGATCCTTCTGAAAAACTATCCAGATTTCGCCGCAGCTGTCTTCACCGTTGACCGAGCGCGATGCAAAAGGCATTGTTCATTGTTCGTTGAACTTCAACGTGATGCTATTTGAGAACCACGTTTACCGAAGGAAGGAAGATTTCTTCTGAACATTCTTCACCAGATTTCGCCGCAGCTGTCTTCAAGATGCAGAAGGCCATACGGTTCAGTGAAGGGCAGCTCCTCTCCCTGTCTGCCTGTGCCCGGGCGGACGCCACCCTGGCAGGCTACCTGTACAAGCGCAGCTCGGACACGGGCAAGTGGCAGCAGCGCTGGTTCGCGTTGTATCAGAACTTCCTCTTCTACTTCGAGAACGACACGGCCATGCGGCCCTCCGGCCTGGCGCTGATCGAGGGATGCCAGTGCGAGCGGGTCATCAGCACCAAGGGCAGGGACAGCGAGAAACAGGTGGGTGCTTTATTGTCTTTGTTATGCATTCTCCAAGTCATTTTACAATTACAACAACAGCTTCTTTCCCCGGACTGCAAAATTATGCAACTCCCTTCCAAACAGCTGCTTTCCGTCCGACTACAATCCACAAAGCTTCAAAACAAAGGTCCACCGCCATCTCCTGACATAACTACATTATACTCACTTAAGTACCTCTAGCACTATGCCTAGAAGTGGCCAAAAAAATTGGCCTTGCGTTGAGCGACACCGTTAAAAAATTCTTGCACACCCATCTGCAGTGCCATTGATTTGACATTAATACATCTTATACTTGAAGAGTAGAAAAAAGAGTAGTATTGTTAACACAGGGATAGCACGAAGGGGGAGGACAGCGAGAAACAGGTGGGTTGTGTTGTATTGTCCTTCGTTATTTTCTCTGCATTTCTACACACCTATCTACGCCATTCATTACATCTTTGCGCGCTTGAAGAATGAAAAAAAAGGACGAGTCTTGTTCGCATAGGCGCATCACAAAGGGAAAGACAAGAAACGGGTGGGCCTGTCATGGTTTTCCTTATGCATTCTTGCACATCCATCTTCAGTGCCATTGGTTTGACATTAATACATCTTGTACTTAAAGCGTAGAAAAAATACCAGTACTGTTAACACAGGGATAGCATGAAGGGGTAAGACATAAAAAACAGGTGGCTCCGTCATTGTCTTCCTTATCCACTCTTGCACACCTATCTAATAGATAAACACCTATATGCAGTACCATTGATTGGGCATCAATACATCTTTGAGAACCCAATGAAAAAAGGACAAAGAGTCTTGTAAGCACAGGGATAGCTCGAAGGGGGAAAGGCAAGAAACAGGCGGGTGAGAAACAGGTGGGTCCGTCATTGTCGTTCTTATGCAATCTCGTACATCTATCTGCGCCATTGGTTTGGCATCGATACATCTTTTTGCTCTTATAGAATGGAGAAAAGCACAAGTAGTGTAAGCCAAGAGATAGCCATTAATTTTTTTTGTAATAATAAAAACAGGTGTGTCCTTTAGTATCTTTCCTCTGTACTTCTGCACATATGTCTACAGCGTCATGGATTTGGTACTGATACATCTTGTAATGAAAAAAATACATGTACGACAAGTGTTATTAGCACAGGGATGCACAACACGAAGGGGAAAGGAAAAGCAATGTTGGGTCCTTAATTATTTTCCCCCTGCATTCTCGCACATCTATCTCCAGCGCTATTGATTTCCGATCAATACATATTTTCTTGCTTCAAAACGAATGGAAAATATAACGCAGCAAACAGTCATTGAGATCTTGATGCATCCAGAACCATGCTCTTGCACGGTTCAGGATAGTCCACACGTATCCAGAACCGTGCCTGGAGGCAAATCTACGTTCTTGGATACGCGGAGACTATCCAGAACCGTGCCTGATCCTAACCCTAACCCATTCAGGCATAAGAACTAGCCAGGTGCGGTTCTGGACACGATAGAGTCCCTAATGATCTCCCCTCCGCATTTCTTCACACCTTTCCGCAGCGCCAGTGATTTGGCATCCATCCATCTTCATACACTTGTAAGAAACAGAGGCGAGCAGTAGAAACAGATAAAAACCCTCCTGGTCCTGGGCCGGGGTTCGAACCCACGGCCCCCGGGCGCCAGCTTACATCCGACGCTCCTACTGAATCAGCTAAAAGGTCTAGACCCTTCGGCCGGGTCAGTTGGTAGCGCTTATAAACTCCCACTGTTACACACTTGTAGAACGGAAAAAGTACGAGTCATGTACGCGCAGAGATTGCCATATCTTACTTGCTGTATTCCTTTGGCAGTGAGCGCTACCGATGTGAAATGTTGGCGTCTTTTTCATCCATTCACTGCTGGAATATTGCGCTTGTGGCTTGGTTAATTAGTAAGACAAACATCGCCTCACGGCAAGTTAGTTTTGTACATAACGAAAAATAAGCCATCCCCAGAGTATCTATATACACATAGAGCGCCTTCCAGTGTATCTATCTATCAGAAAGCGCTTCTGAATTGAAAATATTGGCGTATTTTTAATTCATCTAATGTTGGAATATTACTCTTGTGGCTTGGTAAATTAGCAGCGCAAACTGCATCACAGAACATCCCACGGGGCAAGTTTGTTGTGGACAAAATAAGCCTAAAATAGCCCATCCCAATAGACACACAACGCTTCTCCAGAGTATCTATATACACAAAAACGCCTCCACAACAAGTGGTGAAAGAATTCCTCTCGTCCCTACAGAGCTACAGGTGATATTGGAACATCCATCTACTGTTGGAATATTACTCTTGTGGCGTGGTTAATTAGCAACGCAAACTGCATCACAAAACATCCGATTCATCCCTGTTGTGGACATAAAATAGCCCAAGAGTGTCAAAGTACACAAGAATGCTCTCCATAGTATCTATATACACAAAAACAGTAGGGGCATTGTCATTAGATAGCTTTAAACAATGTCTAGAGTTAGATGTTCAAGGGTTAGGTGTAGCAAGTCGATCGGTGTAATGTAGCCAGCTGCCTCCGCGCCGCGTGCCTGCGAAGCTGGTGTGTTACGCCAAAAGGCGGTTATACCAGCCTATACAGATACAGATACAGACACAACGCGTCCACAACAAGTGTTGAAAGAACCCTGTGCGGCGCTACAGGTGCTCCCAGTCCGCCCTGTTGCAATATGCAAGTGTTCCTTTACCAGCCCCCTGAGGGACGTCATGGCGGAATGCGCTTTTGTGCCCGCCGGGCGCCTCTCAGCTAATGACACAGGAGGAAGGATCGATCGGCGAACCTAAGTGATATCTAAGTAATGATCAAACCTGCCCGGCAAATTGGCGCGTATCTGAGAAGCTGCAAGGATGTAAAAATTCTGCTGCGGTTGTCGACACGAATTACGGGCGAACTCGGTCTTTTTTTTCGATCCTTTCTTTGTGTTTTCTTTATCTGTGTGCAAGGCAAAGAAATATAGGCAGAGTAGCAAGATTGCTACCTTATTACGTTCCTTGTACAATGTACAGCAGATTCGTGTACAGTATGTGCAAATTCATATTGTCCGAGACAGCCCGGCCTTATACAGCGTAGCAAACCCGTTGAGTATTACCCTTAAGACCCGGCCACATGTGTCGTGCCATACTTGTAATAGTCGTACAAAATGTGTCCTGCAAAATCCACCTGTCTGGTTACAGAAAGGGCTGCCTTAAGTCCTTGTCGGCGGTTTGATTTGATTTTTTATAATTTTATTGAAATTGCAACAGTGCAATACACGCGGAACATAGGCAGCTGTTGCTGGTGTTGTGTCTCACACATAGAAACGAATACAGGACAGACAATACTCATTTTCACTTGAGTCTAGTGGGGAAAGTCGTGTAAAGTGCCTTTCCCAAGGGCACAAGATCGGTGGCACGTCAGGACTCGAACCCGGGACCTGTTGATTCCGAGTCGCGCACGCTGCCGTTGCGCCACACGACCCCACGGTTGGTTCGAATTCTGTCACAGCCTGCTTAAAAAAACTACAACATGTATAAAAATCCTAAAACGACCCACGATGAATTTGACAGCGCCACAAACGCAATTTACCGGTTATGCGAAACAAACAAATCCAATTTAGGCCAGGTTGATTTGATTATATGGATGACATCCTCCGGGAACCCCAAAACTGATGCGAGCGTGCGAATAAAAAAAAAGTTTTGCAAAAAAAAAGTTGCTTTCATTATCTACGTGGCCATGAAGATTGAACAAATGACACAGGGTATGGTATGGCGAATAATCTACTCTTCAAATTCATTTCTTTACATTTTCGTCTTTTTCGTTTGGTTTTGACATTCTACGACATTGTTATTGTTTTCCAATACTTTTTGTGCAACTTACAGTATATATTTGCTCATTTTGCAACTGTTTTGTACGATTTACAGCATGGTTGAAATTTTTTTTTTTTTTGGTAAACGGCCGAAAATTGATGCGCGCGCGGATGTCATCCATATAATCAAATCAACATGGCCTTACTCACCCACGACTACCCAAGACGTCCTCTCACTGCAACAACGGGAACCCCGAAAGATGATGAGGCAATCCCGCCATGTTTTACTGTCAGAGAAGCACTTCTAAAGACGGTTTGATGGACTGGTTATGGCTGCTACAAGATATGCGCCATTAACAGCGCGGAGAAGCGTGTTTAATTCCCTATTTCACACTGATTGGGGTGATAAATTTGATTGTGAAAGGTTCTCGTTGTATCCGAGTTACCTCTTGGGACTTGGAAAATGGATTTTCGACGCACTAAAATTTTTGAGTTATTTTTATATTGCTATTGATAAATCTGATTTTGAATGGTTCTCGTTGTATGAGCGACAGCTCTTGGGACTTGGAGGAGGGATTGTTTTATAATGCAATATTTATTGACAATATATAGTGTCGGCACATTCAATATTTACGATTATTCGTATAATCTGTATTTACAAATTGTCCTTTATTTTGAGAGCTGTAAAATGAAGGAAAAGTCCATTGAGGCTGATAGGGATGATTTTTACAAGAGCGACGCTCAGGCAGGCGCGGCGGTGTGTTGATACAGGCGATGAGTTATTGCCCGTGTAGCGGAATAATGAGATACAGCCGCTCGTGTGTCCCCACCGGGACATGCTTAAGGTAGAGCTGCAGCACAGCGGCGCTTTATCATGCTCAGGCATGGTTCTGGATAGTCCACGCGCATCCAGAACCGTGCTGTATCCAGAACCGTGTTTTATCCAGAACCGTGCTGTATCCAGAACAATGCTTATCCTGAACCGTGCTGTATCCAGAACCGTGCTGTATCATGCTCAGGCACGGTTCTGGATAGTCCACGCGTATCCAGAACCGTGCTTTATCCAGAACCGTGCTGTATCCGAAACCGTGACAGTTCACACGTATCCAGAACCATGCCAGCGGCAGATCTACTTTCTTGGATACACGGAGACTATCCAGAAAACTGCATGATCCTAACCCTATCCCTTTTAGGCATACAACTAGATAGCCACAGTTCTGGATACAATAGAGGCTATCCAGAACCGTGCCTGATTCTAACCCTAACTCATTCAGGAATAGAACTAGATAGGCACGGTTCTGGATACAATAGAGACTATCCAGAACCATGTCTGACCCTAACCCTAACCCATTTAGACAAAGAACTAGATCGCCACGGTTCTGGATACAATAGAGACTATCCAGAGCCGTTCCTGATCCTAACTCATTCAGGCATAGCACCAAATAGGCATGGATCTGGATACCATATTGCTGTAGCCGTTGTTAGGAGACCATTTCGCACCCATAAATGAGACTCAGCGGTGGTTCTCTCCCGTCGTCCCAATAACGGAGCGTGATCATAGGACGGAGAGAACATTAACCGCCAGCTCCGGATTTTCTGAGTTCATTACGCGCCGAATTCCGTGCGTCAGGGGACCCATTTTACACACACGACAGGGGACCCTTTTTACACACACGACAGGGGACCCTTTTTACACACACGACAGGGGACCCGTTTTACACGCACGACAGGGGATCCTTTTTACACGCACGACAGGGGACCCTTTTTACACACACGACAGGGGACCCTTTTTACACACACGACAGGGGACCCATTTTACACACACGACAGGGGACCCTTTTTACACACACGACAGGGGACCCATTTTACACACACGACAGGGGACCCATTTTACACACACAGGGAAAGGCAAAACATCGGACTGACGCACGCTCCCGTACCGCGCCTTTGAATCTTGCGATTGGATCTTATTTATTGAGAAGCTAGTAGGAAGCTATCAGCTACAGCTGTCAACGTTTGAAGTACAAGGCTTTGTATGAAGATTAATCTGCAGCAACTGCAACAAGGCTTTGCAACTGCAGCAGATTAATCTTTATACAAAGTAAACACACTGGCTGATATTGTACTGCGGTTGTGGGCTTTTGTTGTCGTTCTGGCCCAAGTCGTCGTAACTAACATATTGATTGCTTGATACATTGGTAAAGATTAGACATCCGGCCAGGTACTCATAAGATACTCATAAACTATTCAAATTCTACTGCTGGATAAAGTACCAAAAATGGCTGGTCGTTACTTCTGGTGATGCCGAAGAAGAGTGATGGATGTCACTCGAAACTCCCGAATGTAACATCCTTATCTTATCACGTAGTGCAGGTTGAATTGTCAAGGACGTTACCATATCATATTGATATGATATGATTTATTCGTTCGGCGGTATGAACATAGAGCCAGGCCTACCAAACCAGCCGAAGGCTATTTACTACAAATGACTGGCCTTGACGACTGAACAATATACAGTATACCACACCAGCTGTTTCGGGGCACACAGAAAGGATGACAAAGTATATTGATTTCCTGTCCCTGAGGACCAGGCAGAATCAGCAGCGCTGCGGCAATACATCCCCACAGAAACACCACCGTTTTTATATGCACAACCACCCCTTTGTTGTGCCACCAAGTCTGTGTGCTGCTGTATTACGGCTGTGTCTGTTGTATTGCGGCTATTTTCGGAATGGACACAACACGACGGGGCTGTTTTAATTACTAATTCGACAAATAGAATGTCGCTGATATTTTTTCATCAAGGACATCCCAACACTTATACTCATAGCCTCACAAAACGTCTTCCCAGTAAGGTCCCTTTTCCACTTATCCACAGACGGTGCTCGCGATATTGCGAGTAAAATCAGATTTGTGTTACCCTTGATGTTACAATTGGAATATGATGCAAGATGAAAAAGTCTGATTTGATAACAGCAAAATGTGTTTTAATAAAAAACAAAAAAGCTGTTCTTTGCCTATGGGATTCGTTGAACGATCTGCCAAAAGTTGGTCGCTTATAAATTAGCGATTGCAGTTCCTAGTATAAGTGGATGTGGTGATACACGCAGAATCTCTCTCTTCCAGCATACCTGCGTCTCTGTATCCCAGCATGCCTGCGTCTCTTTAACTCTGTAATGCAAAAATGTCTTTTTCTATGAAGGTCGTTGAACGATCTGTCAAATAGTTAGTCGCTCAGACGTCACAGTCCTTAGTTGACATTGCGCTACAAGCAGGTCTGCATCTCGGTAACGCTACATAAATGAAGAAATTTATTGCACGACAATTGCGCATGGTACAATGTATGGCAAACTACATAAAGAGAGTAACAACAATAAAATGTGTGTTGAGCAAGACCTAATGTCGAATAAAACCTAACATATCTATATCATAATTATTCAAATAATAAGGGGTAACACAAGTCTTTATTAGGGGTACGTCTGTGGAAAATGTACTTCCCAGATGATGGAGTATCTGTGACCGGATCTGCCATCTCCACCGTGTCAGCTCATGAGGACCGAGGAGAGGCTATCAAAGGCCCGGACTCGCCGTCTGGTGCTGCGGGGCCGATACGATTGGGTGTCCTCTGAAGGCCTGGGGACGATAGGGACTGTGAAGGCCACGGCAAGGGGACTGTTTTCTTTCTGTGCCTTGGTCGACACCTCAGCTTAGAACGTGGCCACTACCCCTTAGCCAATGAGAGTCATTCAGTTTCTGTGTCTATATCCCCATAGTGCAAAAAAGTGTGGTACTATCCAAAAAGTGTGGTACGAAAACTCATTTGCATAAAATAAGTACCACACTTGAAACCAGGTCCTCCCTCTGTGCAGGCTAATCACCCAAGGGACAAGAGGATTGAAACACAAAGCTTTCTCAAAGACACCTTGGCAGCAGTACAATAACGTTTGCTATACGGTACGCTGACGGGCAGCACTGAGAGGAGCGTTGAGTTTGTGTTTAAAGTTTTTGTAGGTCCCTGGTATTTACAACGTCCTGTTGGAAGCTGTTCCACAACTTGACTATAGTAGGGATAAAGGTTATCTTGTGATGCTGTACCTAGAACCGTGATTTATCCAGAATCATGCTCAGATAGTCCACGCGTATCCAGAACCGTGCCTTGGACGAATCTACGTTCTTGGCTATGCAGAGACAATCCAGAACCATGCCTGATCATGAGTCTAACCCATTCAGGCATGGAACTAGATAGGCAAGTACAGAAACTGAACAGTTTGAACTATACAGGAAACAAGCAATAAAACTGTTTCCATTACGTCAGAAACAAAATGTTGTAATGAATTGTAAGGGGTTTTACATTCCTTCATTGTTGGGAAATGTTGAAACATAAAATGTTACTAGTATATGTCGTACACATTATGGACGAAATCCATTGCTTTATATAATCTGACAAGGCTATCTCGATGATTTAGATCCATGAACTTTGCCGAGGCGGAACACAGTGCATCACGAAGGCAGGTTGTTGCCTTACGTTGTCGTCTGTCTCACCGAAGCGCGGTAAATCCGCTGACGTGAGGCGACGCTGAGAGGGGGGAACAGGTGGGAAACGGGATGACGGATCGTCTGACGCGCGGCGGGAGAAGGTTTCCATCTGTATCCGACAGAAACATGTTTTAAACATATGCTGAGTAGCAGCTCGTAGGTGCGTACATGTCTGTATTCTCGTGTCACCAGTAGAACCACAGGCAGTGGAACCTCAGAAATGCTTTAAAATGTACTGTTTTGAGTGGCAAATGTGCAAATCAGTGTCTGTCCTCATCAGTTCTAGTACATTTTTTTATATTCTGAAACATGCAATCACAAGACGAGTTCTAGTACATTTGTCCCAGGCACGGCTCTGGATAGTCTCTGCGTATCCAATAACGTACCTTTGTCCCAGGCACGATTAGAACACGCCCTGACCATTGCGCCACGCGATGCCTTAAGAAATGCATCAGATATGAGTTGTTGCCGCCTTCGCCAGCTCTGCTGATTCAGCAAGACTCAAACCCCGCCTTATCTCTGGTCTCATCTGCCACATTTGCATCTTAAGTCCTCTCCCTGGTGGGTCTATCGATCTCTTCCCGCCGCTCTGTGAAGTCTTTATTCTCGCTTCAGCTCGTTTCGCGCCCGGGAAGATTGGATGGACGGCCTTAACAGTCGGGACCACCTGGTCGGCACCTATTTGGGAAAAAGACGTCCAGGACAACAAAGCCTTAAAGTGGACTTGAGAAACATTTCTTTAAGACTCTGAAAATGAAACTCACCAGTGTCAGGGTCAGCGACTATTTGGGAGAAAGACATTCAGTGGACCCGAGTAATATTTAATTGACCCTTGGAAAACATCCCGTACCAGGGTCAGGGTCAGGCTGGCCAGTTTACGACTATAAAGAAGCTTTGTACGCAAAAAAGCAGTTACTCAAGCAACTGGATGATTTTATCCAGTTGCTTGAGTAACTGCTTTTTGGCGTATCGTATTACCTGGATGTCTAACCTTCACCGACGAAGTTTCATTTGTGTTACTATGAAATCTGAGGCGCTTTAAATCATAGCAATAAGTGTCAAAATATCTCTTTGGCGTGTCAAATATATCTATTTCTTTAATCCTAATACGACTAGGTAGCCCCATTCAGCTTTGAAAGCTTTTTTCCGAAGGGCCCCAGCATATTACAACACACGACATTATGCACTAAGCCAAGCATAGGAGAACAACATACAGTATACATAATGTAGAGTCAATAATCTACGTTCAAATATCTCATGTTCCCAGTAACAGGATTTATGATAAAAGAGGAGAGATCCTATATTTGAACTGAGCTTCCACCTTGTTTTGACAGTTGCTATGAGTTACAACATGAAAGTAAAAAACTAGATTATCGACGAGAAGCAACTTATACGACAAAAGTCAAACTCAGATTTATCAACTCCTGTAAGAAAACTAATGCCTTAAGCCTCATCCGGTTCATACCGATCCTCGGCATTTGCAAGGGCGTCCCTCCATTTGCATGAAGTAAAGATAAAGGCTTCATGCCGGTCGTTACGTAACTTCAAACGAGCTGAACGCACTGCTTGGTAAGACTTTAATGAACTACAAATACTGCCTGATGCTTATCATAGATAAGTACAGGAAATCCTGGCGTCAGAGAATACAGTAAGGCTGGAATATTCATCTATGGTTCACAAGAGCTGGTCGGGGGCTGAGCTATCCAGAAAAGTGCTTTATTCAAAACAATGTTCAAGCAGGATTCTGGATAGTCCAAACGTATCCAGAACCGTGCATTATCCAAAACGATGCTCAGGCACGATTCTGGATAGTCCACGGGTATCCAGAATCGTGCTTAGGGCAAATGTACTTTCTAGATTATCCAAAGACTATCCAAAACCTTGCCTGATCCTAACCCTAACCCAGTCAGGCATAGAACTAGATAGGCAAGGTTCTGGACACAGTATACATGTATATCTATTTATGCAGTATTCCAACGGTCTCTGTGGCCTAGATTGAAACAGCACCTTTTGAAACGAGGTCGTGGTTTCATTGATTAAGCAACAAAAGTGATCGTTATCAGCTGCCAGGCAGCGCGCGAGGAAAGGGCGTGAATTATCAGATTGAGAGAATTTCCAGGGCAATGGCCGAACGATTAGGAAGACAGTTTAATGATGGTAATCAGTCTTCTGGGAGACAATCTACATCAGCTTTCTTCCGAGAGTTCGGAGCCAAAGAGCTTATCTGGTACGCCAAAAGCAGTTACTCAAGCAACTGGATATGAATTTGAAAACGTCAGACGTTTCAGCTAGTATCCACTAGCTTTCGTCAGTGACTGAGAGACCAGAGGGGAAATGCAGGTTTATAAGCACAAACTATTGATTGATATGCAAATAAAGTGAAGACAACTCACTTGATTGTCTTCACGAAGGCTAGTGGATACTAGCTGAAACGTCTGACCGTTTCCAAAATCATATCCAGTTGCTTGAGTAACTGTTTTTTGGCGTATCGTATTACCTGGATGTCTAACCTAACCTTCATCGACGTAGCTTATCCGGTAACCTGTGATGTTTCTCTAACAGACAGATTCGCATGACTGAATCGGTTGTACCGTGATAGCGGTCTTATCAGGACTTACCAAGAATGTGTCCAAATGCTTTCACTTGATTCATTGCTTTTAATTCTTAAGGAAAGAATAATGTATCTTTATTTCTCTGCAAAGGATAACCAAAGGCTAATTGCCTGTACAGTGTCAAAGAAAGTAAACTAAAGAAATTGGGAACATAGAATTAATGTCTAGCAAATAATTACATTGTTTTTTTAGGTCCGCGCAGCAAATGTATTTGGTAATAGCACTCAATCAGCACGATACATTGTAGGAAGCTATTTTTCAAAATTCTATGATTTCGCCTAGTCTTCTTATATATGCCGATCATATATCTCTCTACAGTAGCGAAAAACGCTTGTCTTGCATAATTTCTTACCCCAAGCGGTTCCTTGCGAATTCAGTGCCAACACTCATTTCACATTCACTTCCTTTAACTATTCCCTACAGCGACAACACTGCCATTAAGGTGGAACTCTGCATCAAGCTTCTGACGTGCTAAATAATAGAGATGTGTCAAGATAGGGAAGAGATTGCAACGTAGATATATCTTAAATTTACACTGTTAGATAAGCGTTATTGCATGCGCAACAGTTTTAAAATGTATAACATATGGCATCTCCCGCTGCATACCAACATCTATTCTGATCTACCTTGCCGAAGACTATGCAGTATTGGGCGAGGATGTGCTTTTACAATTATTGGTGTAATTTCTGTCGTTTAGGTATAATGCACTATGTGTGCACTGCATGGGTTGCCAGATGCCATTATGCACTATATAATTTGAATCCATTAAGAAAAAAACTTGGTATGAAAGAAGATGTACAGTTAAATGTGCAAAGATTGAGCGAACAGGTCGTTCGGTGTGATATACATGTAGATAGCAGTCGCCGCGCCGCGTGCCTGCGAAGCTTATGTGTTACGCCGAGGGGTATTTATTCCGGCTATACAGATACAGATACAGGTACAGAACAATGAATGAAGTATATCCGACTATCTGGGACGTACAACGTACGCTAGAACGTTGCCGCCAGAGTTGCCCCTGCAGTGCATGGTGTGTTTTGATTGATGAGTCCGTCCCGTGTTGAACAGGTCCACATTGTGCGCGGGTAAACCCGGGATCAGGCGGAGACAATCCTCCCCACAGACCCGCGGAGTTATGCACATAACAAGGGTGCTTACCTTACAGAAGACTGTGAAGTTATGCACATACTGATGCTACTGTTAAGCCGGGTGCCGCTTTCTTCTGAAACAGCCCGTAGCGCGCGCTCGTTATTGTTCAAGTTGTTTGAATAAGAGCTTTTTTAGAAGCCCGGAAGGCTCACAGACAGTCTTGTAAGATGGCAGCTAGAGCCTCCCCTCCTCATAAGTTCCCGGTTTATCAGCAAGCTTCGGTTGGTGCCAGCATAAATGAAAACCAACCGATTGTCTCTCTAGGACACAATAGTATTGTGCCCTGAATGGTGCCTATTTAGTTCCGATGGGTTATGCCTGAGTGGGTTAGGATCAGGCACGGTTCTTGATAGTTTCCGCGTATCCACGAACCTTGATTTGCCCCAGTCACAGTTCTGAATACGTGTGGAGTAACCA